TGCATATATGCCTACAGACATGCATGCATGCATGCATGAATGCATACCTACATACATATACATGCGTGCATGCGTACATGCATACATGCATACATGCATACATGCATGCGTATATCTACATACATAAATGTATATATATACCCAGATGTATATATGCATACAAACACATATACGTGCATACAATCAGGCATGCATATATACGAATGCGAAACAAAACATGTATACATACATGTATACATATGCATACATACATACGTGCGTACATGCATACATATACATGCATACATGCATGCATGCATGTATGCATACGTGCATATAACTATATATAGGTGTACATGCATGCATGCATACATACGTGCATGCACGCATGCATACACGCATTACATACCTACGTGCATGCATACATACATACATCAGACATACATGCATACATACATACATAAATACACATACACCTATATCGATACACATGCCTACATACATGTATACATACATACATAGATACATACATATCTACAGACGTACGCACGGACATACATACATACATACATACATACATACATACATACATACATACATACATACATGCATACATGCATACATGCATACATGCATACATGCATACATGCATACATGCATACATGCATACACACATACATGCAAGCATGCATACCTACATACATGCATACATGCATACGTCCATACATACTTGAATACATGCATGCATGCATGCATGCATGCATGCACACGCATACATAAGTGTATACACAAGCATGTATATATATGTATATATATGTATACATGTATACATACATACAAACATACATACATACGTACGTACATACATACATACATGCATTCATACATACATACATGCACACACACGTCTACCTATAAATGTACAAATACATGTCTGTACAGATTCACTGCGCCTTGAGTTTGGGGAAAAGATGCACAAGCCCGAGACACAGTGCAAATGTAAGGCTTCCAAAACGACAGCCCGAGACGCAGTGGATGCTAACATGAATCTGGCCCGCAAAAGGGAGGACGGTTCGCGGGTGGGCACCCAGTAAGCACTAAGCCTGGAATTGGTAACCTCTCCTGCCGTATCAAAAAGGCCACCGCTTACATCACAAGCAGGCCAAGGGTTGGGAGCAACACGCGCGGTCCGAGGCAGCCGAGGACAGGACCACGGCCATGACTGGCAATCGCGCCGGGGGAACACAGCAGGCTCGGGAGAACTCAGGACAAAGAGACAAAGACAGAGACAGAGGCAGTTATGGGGAGGGGGGAGAAGGAGGGAGAGGTAGACGTCAAGGTAAAGGTAGAAGCAGAAGGCAGAAAGCAGCAGATAGCAGGTAGGAGCTGCGAAGTAGAAGGTAGAAGGTTACAGGTAGAAGGTAGGAGGTAGGCGGTAGGAGGTTAAACAGAAGGTAGGAGGAGGTACACGTGAGAGCTTAGAGGTAGAGGAAGCAGCAAAGGGAAAAGGGAAAAATGATGGGGAAGTTTGATCCAAGTATATGAGAAAGTTATCCAGATCCGCCATCGTGCCTTCGGGCACGGAGTGGGCGTGTCCTGAGGTCCCTTGTTGTAGTCCTCAGTCCTGCGGACTAAGGATTCGTAAGGGATCTGGACCCCAAGCTCGCGAACATCCCGCGGTCCGGGGCGGTTTCCCGCAGTCCAGGGCGGCTTGTCGCATAACTTGTTCGGGCCCAAGAGGGCCCCCAGACGGGCCAAGAGGGCCCCAAGAGGCCCCCAAGAGGGTCCGAGAGGACTCCGAGTCGCCGAACGATCGGTCCAAGACGCCCACGATAGCCTCAGACGGCACAAGAGGCTTCCAAGACGCCCCAAGGGGCCACCGAGAGGCCTCCCAAGAGGGCCCCAAGAGTCACAGTATAGTTATTGTCCTTCGGTTTTTGAAATATTTTGGCGTTCTCGCCTTTTCGGCTTCCCGACGACGCTCCAAGACGGCTCAAGAGGCGCCCAAAATGGCCCCAAGACGGTCCAAGAGGCCTCCAATAGGGCCCCAAAACGGCCCAAGACGGCCCCAAGACGGGAAAAAAGGCCCCCGAACAGTTCCAAAACAAAAAACAAAAAAAAACAAGAAAAGACAGACAATGGACCCGAACGGACATGGCGGGCCCTCGGCCCCAAAGCCCCCAGGAGGCCCCAAGAGGCCCCCATGAGGCCCCCACGAGGCCCCCAAGAGGCCCCCAAGAGACCCCCAGGAAGCCCCAAGAGGCCTCCAAGAGGCCCCCAAGAGGCCCCCAAGAGGCGCCCAAGAGGCCCCGAAACTGCTCCCCAGATGCTCCCGGAGGCGCTCCTAAGAGCCTCCCAAGAAGCATCCCTGAGGACTCTGAACCACAACCCGAAGGACGAAGGCCATAGAGGAGGAGGAGGAGGAGGAGGAGGAGGAGGAGGAAGAGGAAGAGGAGGAGGAGGAGGAGGAGGAGGAGGAGGAGGAGGAGGAGGAGGAGGGAGAGGAGGAGGAGGAGGAAGAGGAGGAGGAGGAGGCGGAGGAGGAGGAGGACTCTGAACCACAACCCGAAGGCCGAAGGTCATAGAGGAGAAAAGGAGGAGGAGGGGGAGGGAATCAAAAGACACCGAGACCATAAAGAGAGAGGGACAGAGAAAGAGATTGACGAGGCAGGGCGACAGCATGCACAACACGAACATGATCCAATACCAACGGCGATGTGGGAGACTGAATCCCTACTACCAGCCGTCATCGAGTCGACCTGCCTGCAAGCTGCGCTCTAAAATGTCACCAAACATGAGTGCCCTGTCGAACAATTCGTTGACCCCGCCAGAAGATACTCCAAGTACGTGTCTGATTGGGACTACTGCCACTTACATACAAAACACAAGCCACACACTCGTCATCAACATCATAATGCCCTCGACTGGCAATTTCGCCACACATTATTCGACCCTGTCATGATTGCAACTGTCACCAAATCTGACCCGGCGGACCACATCAATGATTCACTCCCGTTCTCGACGTATCACTGTCTGCCTTGAGAACACCACCAGCACGCCAACTCTAATACCTCGACATCCCCCTGCAGCTAGCTAAAAACAAATCGAACAACATGTACGCCATAACGACGAACCCACCAATGTCTGCTCCCAAATGACCATGCCGTTGCGATGCTCTGCCCACATGCCCACCCTCGGATGATAGGCGACCCCATGCGCCACAAAAGAAGGCGATTGCGCTGCCGCAACGCTCTTGAGCAGGCGACCACGAGGCCACAGCACTGCCACAAAAACTAAACTGCTGAGTCCAGCTCACATCACAAAAGAAAGTCCAGCACCCTCTCTCCCAGCATCTATTCGCGGCAGCAGAACCGCGCCTGACTCCAGAACAACGACTGTCGTTAGCCCCAGGAGAGCGGTGCGCTTGCCCCGGTCAGAACTGCGACAACCACAAGTGTAAGACAACATATGCGAAGATTGCCCGTCTCTCGACTGAGGGGAAACATGAGACTATCGAGTGGGTCGCAAAGAGCGAAATGAGAGACAGCAACGAAGATGGCGACACGACGATGGTGCCATGATGATTGTACTGATGATGATGATGATGATGATGATGATGATGATGATGATGATGATGATGATGATGATGATGATGATGATGATGATGATGATGATGATGATGATGATGATGATGATGATGGTGGTGATGATGATGGTGATAAGCATGATAATGATGATGATGGTGGTGGTGATGATGATGATGTTTGTGATGTTGGTGATGGTGATGATGCTGATGGTGCTGATGATGATGATGATGATGATGATGATGATGATGATGATGATGATGATGATGATGATGATGCTGATGATGATAATGATAGCAAGCGACAAGCGACTGCTATCAGGAACCATCGGCGGCACATCCCTACACAAGAAACAGGCGGCACGCGGAAACAGCACCAAGTGCCAGGGACGATCGGAGACGGGGCCGAGAAAAAGAAATCGGCGGCACGCGGTCACAGCACCAGGGCCAGGCGATGTCCGGAGCGGGGCCAGACAGAGGAAGGAAGGCGGCACGCAGGGTCAGCAGTCAGCACCAGTGCCAAGGACGGTCGGGGGCGGGGCCGAGAGAGCGGAATCGGCGACCAGCTCGCAGAGACAGGGGCAGCAATGACAGATATGACGTGACGGAGCGACAAGCAGTTACAGCCAGGAGCGCTCGGTTTTTCTTGTTTTTCAGCACTCGGGGGCAGAGCTGAACGCGGAAAACTGGCGGCACGCGGGTCAACATCACAGCCAGGGGCAATGGGACACAAAGCCCAACAAAAGAAAACGACGGCACGCGGGGTCAGCATCAGATCCAGTAACATTCTAGGAAAAATCCGAAAGAAAGAAAAATCGGCAGCACGCAGGCTCAGCACCGAGGACGGGGACAATCAGAGACACAACAAAACATAAAGAATTGGCGGCACTCAGGGTCAGCACCAGGACTTGGGACAGTCGGGCACAGAGCTGAACACAAGAAATTGGCAGCACGCGCGGTCAGCACCAGAAACGAGGATGGTCAATACAAGGCCCGAACAAAAAATCAGCAGCGCCTGGGGTCAGCACCAAGGCCAGGGACAGAAACTGACATGACCCAACACTGGAAATCGGGGGCACGCGGGGGCCGCACAACAGAAGACGGGAACGGCAGAAGACGGACCCGAACGGCAGATATCGCCGCTACGCGAGATCCGCACTTGGCCGAAGGGAGCGTGGGAAGAGGGGTGAATGAACAAAAAAAAAAAAAAACGGCGGCTCGGAAACGCAATCCTTCAGAAACTCCCGGACAGGACGTGCTCGGGCTCTCGCTTCTGCCGGTGAGGGCAGAAGCGTGGCAGCCGCTGGAGGGTCGCTGGGCGGGTCGTTGGCAGGACGGCAGCTCGGTCATGACGCGGATCGCGGGGTCGTTCGCAGTATGGTCAAGGTGAGTGTCGTTTAGCCGATCCCCATCCCCAGCGGCGTGGCCTGGGCCCCACTGGCCGATTTACCCCCCCCCCCGGATGGGGATATGGGCCGTTCCCTTCGGGTCTCGAAGAATGTATATCCCCAACTGGGGGGGGTACTTGGTGGGGGTCTCGAAGGGGATGGGGGTGGGGATGGAGGTCGGATAAGCGATACTGACAAGGGGCGGGTCGCGGCTGGGCGCGTGTCTCGGCACGCGCGGGTCGCAAGAAGGGCCACGAGGCGGGCCGGGGGCCGGCGACGCCGCCGAGACGGAGGCAGGCAAGAACGACTGCAGCGAGAGCTAAGCGGCACGAGGGGCAGATAGGGAAAGCAGGACAGAGAGAGCGAGAGAGACAGAGGATAAACCACCAAACAGATACACAAAACCATGCAAAGTCTAAACATGCGTATAGGTCCGTAACACACACACACACACACACACACACACACACACATATATAGATAGATATATAGATAGATAGATAGATAGATAGATAGATAGATAGATAGATAGATAGATAGACAGATATATAGATAGATAGATATAGATATAGACTGATAGCCCGTTGTGCGTGCCATGATATCCAATTTTGTGTTTACTGTATGGTTGTACGTGAAAAGCGGCAATTTTCGCAGTGCACCAGCGAGGACCCTCCAACAGGCCATCCACGCAGCTCGTTCTGGCGTCGGTCCAGGCTCCCCGGCGCAGGTTGCCCGACCCTATAGCGGGTCCCGAAGGGCTATTTCTAAGCGTATCCCAATACGCGAGGTACTTCGGAAGTTTTCTGCTGGTCCTTCCAGAGTTCTTCGCCAAGCTGTTTGGTTTTTGTCTTGGTCCAAATTCGCGGGCGCATACTTCTCCACACCCTTCCGCACCCAGAGTCCAGAGTCCAGAGTCCAGCAAGGCATGAGGGTGCCGAAACACGCCCAGAGTCCACCAAGGCATGAGGGTGCAAACCCGACTTGTCTGGCTGATGCTCTGGGGGGGCCTGTGCTCAAGGGAGGCTGCAGCACCGCTCAACGATGTGCTGTTTAATCGAACCTGCAGGGTGGGCCCTTTCCCGAATCCGTGCTTCGGTGCGGATCGTCTGCGCGCCTCGTCTCCGTCGTCGTCGTCGCTGTCGTCGGCGTCGTCGTGGCCGTGGTGCGTGTCGCTCTGCTGGGGACTTGTTTCCCAAGTGCAGTGACCACCACCACCCCACCCTGCCGCACCCCTCGACGCTCTCAGCCCGTGCTCCTGCTCCCGCTTCCGCCTCGAACACCACACCGCGTCAAGCGCCGCATCCAGTCCTCCACGGCACTCGTCTCTAACAATCCCACCTCACACGCTGCTCATCAGGCCCCCTCCCCAATATTTCACTTGGAAGCATCAGTAGACTCAACCCCCCTCCATCTCCAACACCACGGGAGCCCGTTGAATCGCGCGCGTGGCCCTGGACATATAAGTGGTTGGGTATTGGGTTTGGTGTTTGGGACGCAGACACCTGATTAGAAGGATCTGCTCAATATTCTATTTGGGAGAAAGTCTGTTCTCCCAACGAGGCTGTTGTGTTGGAAACGAAGGCTGTTGAGTACTGGGCGTGGTGTTGGGAACGGAGGGAGTTGAGTTGAATGAGTTTTCTTGGGGGGTGGGCCTGTTGAGTTGGCTGCGTGATGTTTGAGACGAAAGTTGTTGAGTATTGGGGGCGGTGTTGGGGATGGGGGGGATTGAATATTAGCACAATTTCACGGTCATCTTGGGAAGGGGGCCCGTTGACTTGGTGGTGTGGTGTTGGGGGCGAAAGTGGTTGAACGTTGGGTGGCGTGTTGGGGTCGGAGGGACATGAGTTTTCAGGTTTCTTGAAGGTCATCTTGGGGAGTGGTAATGGTGAGTAGTGCGTGTTGCGTTTGAGACGAAATCTACCTAGATTTCGTGTTGGGGACCGGAGACAAAACCTTGAAACATGGTCCGGTCCAGAACATGAGCGCGAGAAACGTGCGAATCATACATACATATGTAGGTTTCGGTATGTAGAATTGAACAATAATCTCAACGTGTCAACATGTGGGGTTGGAGACAAAGACTGCTGCGTAGTGGGTGTGGTGTTGGAAACGGAAGAAGCCCTCAGAATAGTGGGTGTAATGTTGAAGACGAAGACTCTTGAATATTAGGTGTGGTGTTGGAGACGGAAGAAGTTAAGTCGACGGATATTTTCAAGTTCGGGAGGGGGCCTGTTGACTTGGTGGTGCGGTACTGGGGGGCGAAAGCGGTTGAATGTTGGGTGGTGTGTTGGGGGCGGAGACATGTGAATATAACGGTTTGGGAAATTCATTTGGGGGTGTGGTTTTGGTGAGAAATGTGTCGTGGGCTTGAATCGAAGGCTGTGTTGGGGACCGGAAAAAATTGAAACATGATCCTCGAAAGTGAATATCAGAAACGTGCGAACCATATGCACATAGGTGTATTCGTGTATACATACACATCTATATATATATATACACATACATACATATATATATATATATATAACGTACAAAAAGTGTGGCATTGTAAACGAAGGCTGCTGGGTAGTGGCCGTGATGTTGGGAACGGAGAGAACGAATAAAATGATGTTTCAAACTCACCTCGATGGGTGCCTTTTGAGTAGTCAGCGTGGTGATGGAGACGAGAGCTGTTGAGTAATGGGCGTGGCGGAAGGACTTGATTAAACGGATGATTTCGAGTTCATCTTGTTGAGGAGCCTGTTGAATAGTGGGCGGTGTTCCGTTTGAGATGACGGCGGTTGAATCTCGGGTGCGGTGTTGGAGAGGGAGGCCATCGAGTAGGAGGACATTGTCAAGTCAATATTCGAATGAAGCCTGTTGCGTAGTGTGGTGTTGGACAGAGCACGGCAATCGAAAGCTACGTCCTGTTGTGCTTGACCCAAAAGGGTTGCGGCACAACCTTCTGATGTAATCGGTTCGGCGCAACCATCGCGCCATCGTTGCACGGGCAATTTTTGCGGCGGCGACCGCGCGGCCAGGAGGCCCCGCTGCAGGGGTCGTTCGGCCGTCCGCGCCACGGCGCCCAACTCCGCTAAAGAAATGCACGCAAACGCCGACATTTTTCTCGCCCCTGCGCCGCCCCGAAGGCATTTCCAAAGTGCCTTTGGCGCGACGTGGGCGCACATGTCGCCCATGTCGCCCACGTCGCCCATGTCACCCACGTCGCCCATGTCGCCCATGTCGCCCATGGCGCAAGCGGGCACCCAACACTCTATTCGGCGGCTTTGCGCGGCGCCAGGGTTAAACGG